TTTTTGCACAAATTATTAAAGGAGTATTTCTTTATTTCAAGATTAAAATGTTTAATTAATTATATTAAATGAATTTAATTAAATATTTTATAACATTTTCATTTAGTATAAGGGTAAAATGGTAATTCAACTTTTCACTTTGGAGCTTCTCACTTATAATAATATATGATGATGATGATGATATGATGATATGATGATTTTCTTTTACAATGTCTCAATGCAAATATAAAGAGTTTTATCCTGATCTATAGCTATTTCCTCGACTTCACGGAAGCAATAGATGCTACACACTGGTCAAAAAGATGTAACAAAGAAAAAGAATTTAACCAAAAATAGAAAAATACTAAGGAAATAGAATAACTTACATCTATCGGAGCACCACTCGTGATAATCATTACAGGTTCTCCCAATCAACATTTATGGTGGAAGTATGAGCAATTTTCGGTGTGGATGAGCAAAAGACATTCCACAACTGACTCAAACAGGATAATAAAAAAGAAAAGGAAAAAAATTAAGACAAAAAAGAAAAGTAGAAAGAAAACAAAAATAACAAGTTTCTGAGGGAAAAGAATAACTTACATCAGTGGGAGCACCATTTGTTTTAATCATCACATGCATTTCCCATCGATATGTATGAAGGGAATTTGAGCAATATTTGGCCAGTATTTCCCCTTGTCAAATTCTAGTAGTGGTGTGAGCAATGGACATTTTGAAATAGATAGTTTAGAGAGGGAAGAGGGCATCCCTTTTACTGGAAGGGATTGGAGATTATGGCAATCCATGATGGTCAGCTCAGAGAGGGAGGAGGGCAGTGCAAATTCAGAGAGTGATAGGAGTTCAGGGCAATCCATGATGGTCAGCTCAGAGAGGGAGGAGGGCAGTGCAAATTCGGAGAGTGATTGGAGATTATGGCATTTCCAGAAGTGTAGACGTAGAAGTGAAGTGAGGTGGCAAAGATGTAGTGAATGGAGCTCATCATGGTCACATACATTTAGATGAGAAAGAGAGGAGGGAAGCCCACCTTGTTCCAGCAGTGACTGAATTTGAGGTAAATCAGCAATATATAGATATTGAAGAGAGGTGAGGCTTTTGAGAACTTGGCTGCTCAATGTTTTCAGATTGGATATGGAAAGCCTTTGAATAGAGCAAGGCAACTCCCAATGTTGGATCTCTTCATCACTGCCATCATGTCTGATCTCTAACTCAGTGAGACAGGGGAGTCTCAGTAAACACCACTCCTTTCGGCCGTTCACTAGTTTCATACAATCACTGATCTTAAGGACTTGTAAATTGAAGAGCTCTATTTCTGGCAGACACTTGAGCTTCTCACAATACGAAATATCCAAAGACGTCATCGCAGACTCAACTGCCACCGAAAGTATTTCAAGATTCTTACAACTATAAATACGGAGACTTTCAGTGGCAGTAGGAATCAAAAACCTAGTAACGTTCTGGCAACTCCAAATAGACAATTTGCGTGCTTTTGGGAGAAACTCATCTATACAATCACAATTTCGCAGTGTCAATTCCTCGAGAAACATGTTACAATAAGCAACTGGCTCCTCCAATTTCAATCTCTGACAATCAGATATGGTTATTCTCTTCAAGGAACTGGGCAGTATGCTAAGTATGCTAAAAGGTAAGGAGGTAAGAGAGTTACAATCATGAATATATAATTCAACAATCTGCTTCATTCCCTCAAATTGGGATCTAAACATTTGAGCTTCATCAAAAAGAGATGTCTCTGAAATTCTTAATTTTGTCAGAGAACAAAGATTTTCAGGCAACTTCCCCATCAACTTCGGACATTTATGAATTGAAAGGTACTCAAGTAAAGGGAACTCTCCACTTCCTAGTACGTGCCATTGCTTCCACTCTGGCATATCTGCAAATTCAAGCTTCTCAAGAGAGTTAAAAGGCTTTTTGGAGGATGAATTACCATAGAATTCTTCCGTCACCTCTTTTATTCCATGCATCCCTCCAATGTAAAGGAATCTCAAAGAAGGAAGCTGTCCTAGTGCTGGCAAAGAATCACAGTCCTTGCAGTTGCTAAGAGACAATTGTACAAGCTTAAGAAACAAAGGATCAGCTAGCCAATTTGAAATTTTTGTCCCTCTATATCCGGTGATTTGGAGTTGTTTAATATTTGTGTGTGGGTGTAGCTCATCAAGTATCTCTCTTTCAGTTTGAGAATCGGCGGCGGCAGTACTACTTTCACTCCACTTCAATAATAACTTGTCAACATGATTCTTCTCCCTTATCTTTGCCTTGAGAGCTTCCCTTTTATCAACCACATTTTGCAACTCTAAAACTGATAGAGATCCATACAAGTTATGTACTTCACCCAAATCTTCCATTCTCCAACCACTGCTACCACCTACAAGAAACTCAGCTCCCACTAGGACTTGGAGGCTTTTCAACTTGCTCAGATGTAGCAGCATCTTCAAGCGACGAGTGTTGGTTATGTCGAGGTGATGCAAGTTGATCAACTTCTCCATCTGCAGCGGTAGCTCCTTAAGATAATAACAAGATGACAAGAGAAGTGTCTCCAAGTTATACAATGCACAAATGGAATCTGGCAACTTTTCAATCTCTGTTTCAGAAAGGTCCAAAAATCTGAGGAGCTTTAATTTGATAAACAAGTCATTTGGAAACTCCTTAATTTGGTAATGAGACAATGATAATGCCCTTAAGGATGTCAGTCTTGGCAGTATGTTATGCAACACCCTCTTGCTTACCCAACCAAAGTAACTGGTTGGAAGCAATGTCCTCAGCTGCTCTGATTTGGAGAGTAGTTTCAATTTCTCAAAGTCACCTTCTGCTCCCACAGAATAGGACATGTGCTGACTTTGTTCCAACATATCATCAGATCCTTCGTTCTCTTCCAACCTAATACAAAGTTTTGAAGATGCAGTTTGGGCCAAATCATTGATAAGGTCATGCATTATGAATCTCTCCGATTGCCTTTCAGACTCTGGGACCCGTTCGAACAATGATCTTGATCTCAACTCGTCAAAGTATTCGTTACCTAAACAAAACTGCTTTACAAGACCATTAGCAATCCACAGGTAAATAGCTTGGTCTTTGCAGAATTCATAATCTTTGGGATATATTGCACAAAAAGCAAAACATCGCTTCAAATCTGGAGGAAGATCATTGTAGCTCAACCTCAACTCTGGCAATATACCATTCAAACAACGCTGGTCCCATATTTCACTTCTTAAAATGTTTCTCCACTCATCTACCTCTGATTTGCCGCGTAAAGTACCAGCAACTGTCTTTAGAGCTAAAGGCAACCCTTTGCACTTGACTGCAATTTCTTTCCCAACCTCTTCAAGTTCTGGATGATCACTATTTTCTAGTGAATGTCGTTTGAATAAAGCCCAAGAGTCTTCACTAGACAGAGCCAATTTCTTGAAGTAACCCTTTCGTTATTCTCAAAGCATCATATGGCTCAGAAACACAATACCAAGCTCTCAAACCAAAATGGTTCTTCACCTTCTCATCATTGTAAACCACTTTCGCTAGTGTTGTCTTACCCAAGCCGCCAATTCCAACAATAGGAACTACAGTCAGGTTTCGTCCACTTGCATCTTCAGACAATAAACGGTCAATCATATCCTTCTTTTCCTTGTGTAAACCAAAGATACCAGATTCATCAACCAAACAAGTTGTAGTTCTAGTTAGTGGTTTAGTCGAACCAAAACGTTCCTGTAAGCCAAGGTCACTAATTTGCTTTTGCAAATTCTGCAATGTTTCAATACTCATTTCCAACTCGTCATTTATTTTAAGAAAAGAATCATCACCCAAGCACAGGTTGCAAAATCTCCAATTTTTCAATAGTGTTTCTGCAAGATTTTGATGCTTACCTTCCACCTTAAGCTTCAATGCTTCATAATTGACTTGTTCAATCAAGTTTTCAGCAGAGTCCACAGCAACTCGAAGCTTATTAAGCCACTCTCTCACATATTGATTTGATGCTTGCTTATTCTCTGCATCACTTAGCACAGCTTGAAGACCAAGCAAAGTCGATTTCAGCTTGTTTAAGAGCTGAACATCATTCTTACGCTTCCGAAACATTTTGAGCAGATCACCCTCAGGAGCGAGCCTATCAAAGAGAACATTCAAAGCTGAAGAGAGAAATGCACCACCAACTGCTAAGCCAATCTCCATTTCTGAAATCTGAAAAGCAAAAACAAGGAAACACAAAATGATTTTTTTAAGAATTTTGACAAGATAAATTTTTCAATCTTCAACTACTAACAACTTTACTTTACCTGTTGAATGCTAAGAGTAATTTCCAAACAATAACGATCACTGATATCTCTCAATCTCTCTCTTTTGCTAGTAAATTTGCAAACAAGAAGTTCCTATTCATTACCTTCTCAATTGAATAATTGAAGGTACTTGGGGGTTGTACACAGGTGGACCCCACACGTTTATGTGAGGATGCATATACATCCGTTGACTTGTTTTGCTATGTAAATTTTAACAAATTTATTTTGTTCAATATTTACTTAATAATCCTACTGAATTAAAATATAAGTAGACAATAGTAATTTTGAGCATCACATCTTTCATATATCATACTAGTGTTTATTGTTTTAGCAATTAAGGATAAAATAAAACCTAATTATGGTAGAGATTTTGTTAAGATAGAGTAATTCCTATTTAAGACACTTACTAGTCATTTGGTACAATGCCAGAGAGAAAAAGAAAGCAAAGACTTTTCACTCAATAAGAAGACAAAGTGTCACGGGCCTATTTTCTAAGGTCTCGTGGGACAGCGAAGGAGGGCTTGCACAGCTCCTCGTAAGCTCAGTCCTAACACAAATACGCACTAAAGTGCAGCAGCTAAAACGTCCCTAACAGTCCACAACAAACAGCCAAATAGAATGCAATAAAAGAGAGCAAGCTTTGGGAGGCAAGTGCCAATTTTCTTTGATATTTTTCCAAGTGTTCTCCTTACAAGTGAACCTTTACAAATATATGTTAAAAGCTGTAAAAACAAAGCTAAAAACGTGATGGGACAAGTTCCCAAAAGAAAAGACTAAAAGGGTGTATTTTACAAAGTCAAAGATTAGGTGGGACATGGTGGAGTGTTCCTTAACTTAAGGCAGCCTTGTCCCCTCTGCTAGGGCCCCTTTTGGCTGAAATTCATTGCTACCACATGCTCATCAAGGGTCTCTAAATTATCTCCGAAAGCTGGAAAATTATTGATAAAAGGGCCCTTCAAAAATAAAAGAGTTCAAAATGATAAATTTCTAAACTCATTTTACTTACGGTGCTAAAAGAGACTACCATATCATGAATATGTTGAAGTTACGGTGAATTTTGTCTTCGAATAATTTATAGGTCATAAATTTGAACCGTGAAAAATAGATATAAATATTTTTATTAAGTGCTTGAGGTGCATCTTTTTCTTGAATCATACTAATGTGAAATATTTTGCGTATCCAGAGCTACCCTTGCCTTATCAACTGTGTATTGAAACTCAATGTTTAGTGGCAGAATTCTTTGAAGAAGCACATTAACATTTCTAATACGTGTTTTTGGAGATAAGAATAGGCATGTATAATTATTACGGTATAGTAATAGTGTGTTAGTAGAAGCTACAAATGTTCATTATTTTAACTCAGTAGGATTATTAAGTAAAGATTCAACAACATTTATGTTAGAACTTATATACTTAGTCTCGATTTAAGTGTCTTATTTTATTTTATTTTTATATGTCTTAAAAAGAGTATTTCTTTTTATATTTAATAAGTTTTCCAATTCCTACATTCTACCTTGTAAGTTTAAGAATACAAAATTTGAAAAACTACACACATCTTTAATTTAATCATAAATTTCAAAAATCTCTTTATATTTTTTAAACTTTGTGCTCAAACAAACTAAAACACTTAAATTAATCGGAGTTAGTACATCTGTTCTGCAACCATGTGCTCTATTCTATATATTATTGTTAGTTTAATGTAATGTAGTGGAAAAGGACTAACGCATAGGACCAAGACAGCACAAGTTGTGTCAAAAGTAAATGATAAAACTTAATTGTCATCAATCAACTTATTCCACAAACCTACCCCAATATGTATAATTGGTACAATCTAGATAAAATGACATAAATAGTCCCTCAACTATAGGAGTATATCTAAATGGTCCCTGAATTATATACTTAACGGATTTAGTCCTTCAACTATTCAAAAACTTGTCTGTTTTGATTCCTTAACTATACACTTATCGATTTTAGTCCCTTAACTATAAACTTACCGATTTTAGTCCTTTAAGTATTCAAAAACTTATCAAGTTTGGTCTTTGTCCATTTTTTTAATACAAATAGCTTAGGTTTATATTAACAGAATCTATGCCTCGAGAAAAATCCTTTAGCAACTTTTTATGTTGGTTCTCTCTCCGTTACTTTTTCTTCAAATTAACCTTACGTGAAGAACCTTAACGTCAACGATTTAAAATAAAGTTCACGAGGAAAGAAAATATAAGTCATAATTTTATTCAACAGAGGATAAAATGAAAGCATATTATTGTTACAAATGACTTGAATATGTTAAACTTTATTATAAAAAGAAAAAAGTTATTATCCGTTAAATCCAAAGTTTGTACTCCAACGATTTCATTTAACAGAATTTGTTTAATTTTTCAGAAATGATAATTTATAAAATGGTAGATTTGCAATTTTTTAAACTTTTTTTAAATAGATCAATTTTATTATTCTATTCATTTTATTTTACGTAAAGAAATTTGAGTAAATTAAATAAAATTCGCATTGATTAGCATGATGCATGATAAGTTTCTCGAACAAAAACTTTCAAAGTTTAGGATGGTGCATATTAAAAACCAAAGCTATTTGTATTTAAAAAATGGACAAAGACCAAACTTGATAAGTTTGTGAATACTTAAAGGACTAAGATCGGTAAATTTATAGTTAAGGGACTAAAACCGGTAAGTGTATAGTTAAGGGACCAAAGATGACAAATTTTTGAATAGTTAAAGGACTAAATCCGTTGAGGGACCATTTATGTCATTTACTCATACAATTCTACAACTAGCATTCAGTTGGGGGGGGGGGGTATGATATTTTCTTTCAAAAAGAATAACCCTAGTGTGACTTGGAACGGAGTTTAAGAAAAGAAAGAAGATTTTTTAATCTTGTGTTTCTAAATTAAAGTTATGTCAAATATACCAAAATGTTCTTTAATCTTGTGGCCTGAAACATGTCATGTGAAAAGTTGAAGTTAAAATATTGTCAAAAAAGGAAAGGCGTCATTCTTTTTTAAACGGACTAAAAAGGAAATGAGGTAATTCTTTTTTAAACAAAAGGAATAGTACTTTTCAAACAACAAGAAGACAATGATAAATTGAAGCAATTCATTACTTTCTCAATTCAATAATTGAAGCAAGAGAGGAATGGTAATTTATTAGGGGTGTAGAAAGGGGGGTCTAGGTGGGGAACTCAAAAATAAAAGAGCTGAAAATGATAAATTTCTACACAGTTCATTACAGTGTTAAAAAGGACATACCATATCATAAATATGTTCTCTTGACATTTTTGAAAAGTTCTTTTCCTTTTTTAAAAAGAAAAGAAAAAAAAAATTATCATTCTTGAAAATATTATTATTTAGGAATTTTGAATTTAACATAATTGGATCCCTTGTTTAAATGATACTTTACATTCTGGTAAATCATCACACTTTCTTCCTTACATTTTCTACTTACTAAATTTCTACACAACTCATTTTAGTAATAGTGCTAAAAGGGACTATCATATCATGAATATGTTGGCATGTAACTTATAGGTAATAGATTCAAGTCGTGAAAAAACATATACTAATTTTTTTATTAAGTACTTGAGGTGCACCCTTTTCTCGGTCCATACTAACGTGGAATATTTTGTGCACCAAGTTGTCTTTGCCGTGTATTGAAGCTCAATGTTTAGTGGCAGAGTTCCTTGAAGAAGCACATTAACATTATAATACCTATTTTTGGAGATAATAATAGGTGCATATAATTGCTATAGTAATAATGTGTTAGCAGAAGCTACAAACGTTGAATATTTTAACTCAGTAGGATTATTAAGTAAAGATTCAACAAAATAAATTGTTCAAACTTCAAACTTATATACTTCTTCGATTTTGATAAGTGTTTTACTTGTCTTTTTTAATACGTCTCGAAAAGAGTTTTACTTTTTATATTTAATAAATTTTCCAATTCCTACATTCTACCTTGTAAGTGACCAAAAAATTTGAAAAACTACACAATTTTAATTTAATCATAAATTTCAGAAGTCTCTTTTTATTTTTTAAACTTTGTGCTCAAATAAATAGAAAACTTGAATTGAACGGAGTTAATATATATGTTCGGCAACCATGTGCTCTATTCTATATTTGTTGTTGGGTTATTATAATGTAGTGGAAAAGGACTAAAGCATGGGACCAAGACATGACAAGTTGTGCCAAAAGAAATTGATTAAGTTCAATTGTTATCAATCCAACTTACCTGAGAAACTTACTCTTAATTGTACAACCAAACCTAATAAAAATTAATGGGAGGTAGGGGTGATAATGGAGCGGCGTGGGTTCGAATAATTTTTTAAGAAAATATATGGAAATCGGTTACAGGTTATAGAATTGCTAAGTTTAAATTGAACCATCTTATTATAATTAAAAGCATTTTTTTTCTCCTCTCTTTGTACTCGATAGCATGTCTTTTTAAAAAAATATATATATCATTTGGATTAACTAAAAAAATTTGGAATCACGTGCCTTTTCATTTTTTTAATTTAACTCGAAAGACTAAGAGGAAAAAAAAATAGAGACTGAAAAACATGACAAATGATAGTAATACAGGACAGGTTCATGCAAGGTGTGAAAACAACAAATTGTGTTATTTGAAGCGATGTGGGTTGAAATCCATGCGGGTTTACGCAAATTTTCCCCACAACCACAATCGTCCCACCCCATTTGCCATCCCTAATGGGAAAAGAGTGGGATTGGGGGGGGGGGGTCATGGTGGTTGGGAAGGAGAGGATTTAAAGTTGTTTGGCACGAGATGTTAGAGAAAATACTTTGCATATAATAATACATAAATTTTATAATGGAAAATTTATATATTACTAATATTTGTATAATTTTAACCAACTACTAAACGACACTTTATGTGTAATTTGCAATCAAAAATTATGAGTGATTTTTGTCTCTTTTGCTAGTGGTACAATCTGTAGCAAAACTGTCATTTTTTCTCTTTTCCAAAAGTAAGATTTTTCATTCAAACAAGAAGACAATGATAAATTGAAGCAATTCATTACTTTCTCTATTGAATAATTGAAGCAAGAGAGAAAGGATACTTATTAT